TTGAGGTGAATGGACTACTTGTCTGGTAATGTTCACAGGGCAGAGGCACCTTTACATGAGGTGAATGGACTACTTGTCTAAGAGTGTTCTCATGGCAGAGGCACCTTTACATGAGGTGAATGGACTACTTGTCTTGGAATGTTCTCATGGCAGAGGCACCTTTACTTGAGGTGAATGGACTACTTGTCTGGTAATGTTCACAGGGCAGAGGCACCTTTACACGAGATGAATGAACTACTTGTCCAGGAATGTTCTCAGGGCAGAAGCACCTTTACACGAGGTGAATGGACTACTTGTTTGGGAATGTTCACAGGGCAGAGGCACCTTTACATGAGGTGAATGGACTACTTGTCCAGGAATGTTCTCAGGGCAGAAGCACCTTTTCATGAGGTGAATGGACTACTTGTTTAGGAATGTTCACAGGGCAGAAGCACCTTTACATGAGGTGGATGAACTACTTGTCCAGGAATGTTCTCAGGGCAGAAGCACCTTTACATGAGGTGAATGGACTACTTGTCTTGAAATGTTCTCAGGGCAGAAGCACCTTTACATGAGGTGGATGGAATCACAGATTATAGACCATGCAACCTAAAATGTTAATATTCATTATGGATTTCATACATTTCAAGGAGTGTTTGTTCCTGGGCATCTTAGGAAGCACATTTTCATCATTTCTTTGATTTTCGATCAATTATGGTCGAATATAAGCAAATGCACCTCTGCCACATTGACCTCCATCCCATGTTCATTACTTTTTATGTTAATGTATATTTTTGTGTATTTGTTCCGTTTCAGAAGTGACTGCTTTGTCACTTCCAGTCTGTTTGCTAGGAAGTGTGCATTCAGAAGAAAAGTCTCTCAATAAACCTCGGTTTACATTTAATGGAGTGATAAGATCAACACGAGTAGGAATGTCAACTGTAAGTACATGTCAAACACTGAATGTCAAATGTTAGTAACTATATGTCAAATACTGAATGATGTCAACTGAGTACTAGATGTCAAATACTAGATGTCAACTGAGTACTAGATGTCAACTACTGAATGTCAAATGCGAGTACTAGATGTCAAATACTGGATGTCAAATACTGGATTTCAAATGCGAGTACTAGATGTCAAATACTGAATGTCAACTATGAATACTAGATGTCAAATGCGAGTACTAGATGTCAAATAGTGAATGTCAAATGCGAGTACTAGATATCAAATAGTTAATGTCAAATGTGAATACTAGATGTCAAATACTGAATGTCAAATGTGAATACTAGATGTCAAATACTGAATGTCAAAGGGGAGTATTAGATGTCAACTGTGAATACTAGATGTCAAATACTGAATGTCAAATGCGAGTACTAGATGTAAAATACTGAATGTCAAATGCGAGTACTAGATGTCGAATTCTGAATCTCAACTGTAAGTACTAGATGTCAAATACTGAATGTCAACTGAGTATTAGATGTCAAATACTGAATGTTAACTGTGAATACTAGATGTCAAATACTGAATGTCAAATGTGAATACTAGATTTCAAATACTGAATGTCAAATGTGAGTACTAGATGTCAAATACTGAATGTCAACTGTGAGTACTAGATGTCACTGAATGTCAACTGTGAATACTAGATGTTAAATACTAGATGTCAAATACTGTATGTCAACTGTGAATACTAGATGTCAAATACTGAATGTCAAATGTACTAGATGTCAACTGTGAATACTAGATGTCAAATACTGAATGTCAAATGTGAGTACTAGATGTCAAATACTAAATGTCAACTGTAAGTACTAGATGTCAAATACTGAATGTCAACTGTGAGTATTAGATGTCAAATACTGAATGTTAACTGTGAATACTAGATTTCAAATACTGAATGTCAAATGTGAGTACTAGATGTCAAATACTGAATGTCAACTGTGAATACTAGATGTCAAATACTGAATGTCAACTATGAATACTAGATGTCAAATACTGAATGTCAACTGTG